TGCTCTTGACGACACTGAGAGATCAACCAAAGTTACGTAAATGTCATAGCTAAGAGCAGTGATTTAAAGGCACGTACATCAACGACCGTGTTTCGGCGCACGGCCTCGCCGTTACGTAGTACGCAGCGCATTGTCACGAGGTTAAGACGTAGGATAGCCACCATAACGGCCGTCACTCCGCTGTCGTCCCCTTCATCTGGATTTTGGCCGAATTCCAGCAGAAACTCGAGGATGCCAAGACTCTCTGCCCACGTAGCGGTGTGTAGTGCAGAGGCACCAATTGTGCGCAGATGGAAGCCACTCCAGCTGCAAAACCGAGTTTGACGCTCAAGTAGCGAGTCCGACGTATCGGACTCAATTTGCTAGCAACATCATAGTTTTGTCAGCTCGATCTGGACCAAGTAAAAGAGTTCGCTACGTACTCGTTGGAAGTTGAGCCACTCAGGGAATTGTTTCCACAATTGGCGCATCGATTCGACATCTTCATTGGCACCAGCGGCAAGCCAGGACGTGTGTACGTCTTCCATGGTGGCTGTAGGTGGCAATGACATTCCGGTCGCAACTTGTCCAGATGCGTGAGTTCGATGGAAAAACTGGGAGTGAGAGATCGGATCCGCAAGCGATTGCTGCGTCCGACCTTTTGCGGATGTAGTACCACGCCATTAGCGCAGAAAAAGTAGCGGACGTGCGGAAGTAGCCACCGCAGAAGAGCAGGGCCAAAGCACGTTCGGGTCGACCTTAGGCTTGCCATGTCCTGTACCGTACAGTGTACGTGCTCCATAGAACTACGTCTGAAATCGAAACACATCAGAACAAGGTTATATGATGACCTCGAATGGAGGGGTCAAGGAAAAAAAAGCCTTTCGAAACTTCAACTTGCTCTAAGCGGCTTCATTGCAGAAAATGAAGCGATACTGTAGGATTCAAAACGCTCCTGGAGCTTGTTGATATGCGTTCACTTCATGTTTCCAGGTGGGTACACTTACGAGCAAGTCTCCGTTGGTACATGAAGCTTAGGTACGTGCGACAGAATGCTCCTATCCACTTATTAGGCAGATCATTTTTTCGCAATACAGTACGATCTTTCTTGGCCGAACACAACCACAGTGTTGTCTCAGTATGTGGAAATTTTGGGCGCTACGTAGAATTGATCTCTGGGGCCGACCTGTGGAGGCGGGTAGCACAAATACAGCACTTACAATGCTCATGTTGAACCAGTATCATCTTCAATTTTGTCTTTACCTATGATTACCAGTGGCTACATGTGCGACTGCAATCATATAGTGAATAAAAAACCATTTGTATGGTAGAGGTATCCATCGGGGGCAAATACCATTCTCTTATAGGGTTCAAAATTGAACAGGCTTCGTCAATTAAGACACTAATGCATTCTTCCTTTACCAATCAAAAGTAGATCACAACCACTTCATGCGTTTGAGCAAGCTAAAGTGGTTTTCAAAAGTATGGGTCCATCCAGAGAAAATGAATTGGTGATGGTTTAGTCAACTCAGTTGGCTGTTGAATCGACAATCTACGTGAGCGTCGCATGGTTGAGGCGTCAAAGAGGACCTTGAAGACCTCGTTTGGATTTC